ACACGTAGCTTTTGCCGAAATAAGTAAGGGCAGTGTTTCTCGTGATGGACAAGCATGTGTAGCTGGGGAGCTCGTGGGGGAGGCTCATCTGGCTTGTTAAGGACACGAGCCCTTGCAACCTCATCACGAAGAGCTGCGATTTGGTGCTGAAGCCGATCGTAACGTGCAGTGATCTCATCAGAATCCATAGATCCATCAGAAGATTCACCGGAGGAGCTGGGGGAAAGGGTGGGAGAAGAGGTGATGTCCATGCTTGAATCAGAGTTGGAATTGGAGTTGGAATTGGAGTTGGAATTGGAGCTAGAATCAGAGCTTGATTCCTGAGCTTCCAATGCATGCTGATATTGGAGTTGGGCTAATGACAATGCAGTTTTATCAACTGCATGAAGGAGATCTTTACGGCTGGATGGGCGAGGCATGATGTGGCTTGAGATTGAGATATGTGTTCCCTTATCATCCCCCTAACTGATCAGTGCGATTGATAAGCGGAGTTTCAATCGGAGTTTCAAATTTTACCACGGTCAGCGTGCTAAGTCTCACTCGTCGCAGATGACAGCGACCAAGCTACCATCCCAGCTGTGCTGCCCTCCCTGGATGCTACCACTGGCAACTGGTTCCAATGTGCCTTAGTCTATCACCTCCCTGAAAATCAACATTCCTAACAACAACGCCAATAATACCACGAATGTCATCAACTTTCACTCCCCTAACAACAACACCAATACCACTATGAACTCCATCACTCACGCAACGTGCAGCGCCAAAATTTTCACCTCCCAGCCGGGAGTCAGCCACGCTGTGGATTTCTATGCACTTATTCATCGACGTGGGGGGCTGGTTCCTCCACCCATCAAACTACTGCTGGCACCCAGCTCCCTCCCCCAAGCCCATACGCTACTGGTGCTTGGCCCATTCCCCCATTCCCTCACCTCCTTCAACCAAACCCTCGCCTCCTTCAACAGGACCCTCAACTCCTTCAACTGGACCCTCGACTCCTTAAACCAAACCCTCACCTCCTTCAACCAACCCCTCGGCTCCCTCTGCCAAACCAACTTGACACTGGCGCTCAGTGCAGTCCCCCAGCTTACCTTCCCCCTTCACATCACCCCCCTCCTCATTTCACTGGCGCCGGGGGCAGTCCAGTTGATGACCCAGATGGTGACCTCTATGATGACCCTTATGCCGATGACAACGGCCCTCTCTGCTCCCCACCACCGGTTGCTTGACCCATTCTGTTGTCATCAGCCCTCATCCCACTCCCCCAAGCACATGGGCCACTATTAATGAGTCCCCCCTCCCCTCTCCCCACAGCACATGTTTTTTTGTTCACTCATGCACTTGTCTGATGGGTCTGGTTCCCGGTACTTATTCATTGTTCCCCTCCTCACGTAGTACATATAGCCTGCTGGAATTCTGTTGTTTGGGCAGGTAGAGACTGACAGACTAGTTACTATATTCCTACGTCCCTTATCATGCGCGCTACTCACATTATCACTTGCAAATGCACAAGTATGGTTTCGAAGTCCAATCTGTGCTGGCCATCTATGGCCGAGTTTGTTCTCAAACTTTACTGATAGTTTACCGAGTCTTACCAAGTCTTAGCGATGTTTTAGCGAGTTTAGAAATCAACTCTGAGTCCCATTAATGACAAGGTTGAAATATAGCAACATCATAGTAGACAATACGCAGTAGTGCAGTGCCCTCACCCATCAAGCTCATTCTTATTTTGTCTTATATATGGTTCAGTTCCAAGACTATCTAAAGCATTTTAACGGAAAACCGCTTTGGCAACTAGGGGTCGGCGTTGCCGACTTGTGACCGTGCGGAGCGAGTGCCTTTTTATTGGGGATGCAATTAGTCATATGGCTGAGTTAGGATCAGCTATCGACATTTCGAATACAGTCAATGCACTTCATGGTCGACGTTTACGAGGTATGCATGATATTGAGATGAAAGGATATATAGTTCAATGGATAGCTTCAAATAGCTTTTATTGAAAATCTAGTACGACGACGTGGAGTGTGTATGATGTTTGTTGAGGATGAAGCTTTGAAGGCTCTGCGGACGAAATCTCAGCTCTGTTTGCAACGTGATTGGTGAGTCGCGATGTCTAGTACTTATGCGATAACGACTGACCTTTTTGATATGTGTAGGAACCAGGTGGAAGCATCGAGGAGTTAAAGGGAAGAAAATAATTGGACCGCACTCAGCATTTCAGACCCTAATATGTCACGAAATCCGTGAGAATGGTATATTCCGGATTTCATTATGACGCCTTTTTTCTGAGTGTGTTGGATTGCCCTTGATACCATAACTGATCAGATTTGTTTGGTGTTGTTTTGAATCTGCACGTCACGCAACATTGTAGGTGACCGTGCTCCGCACGGTAATGACCGGCAAATGTTCAGGCCACGTGACTAAGAGGCCAGGTTGAGGTATGGTGACATCACAATGGACAGGGCACAGTAGTCCAGTGGCCTCAACTTGGAAGCCTACTCTCATTTTACCTTATATATAGTTTCATTTTCAAGGCTATCTAAAGCATTTTAACGGAAAGCCGCTTTAGCAATGACCAGCAAATGTTCAGACCACGTGACTAAGAGACAAGAATGAAGTGTGGCGACGTCACAACGGACAGGGCAAAGTAGTCCAGCGGCCTCAACTTGCAGGCCTACTCTCATTCTACCTTATATATAGTTTCAGTTTAAAGTCTATCCAAGCCATTTTAACGGAAAGCTGCTTTAGCAATGACCAGCAAATGTTCAGACCACGTGACTAAGAGACGAGAATGAGGTGTGGCGACGTCACAACGGACAGGGCAAAGTAGTCCAGTGGCCTCAACTTGCAGGCCTACTCTCATTCTACCTTATATATAGTTTCAGTTCAAAGGCTATCCAAGCCATTTTAATGGAAAGCCGCTTTAGCAATGACCAGCAAATGTTCAGACCACGTGACTAAGAGACAAGAATGAGGTATGGCGACATCACATTGACAATGGATAGGGCACTTTGAAGTAGTCCAGCGGCCTCAACTTGCAGGCTTACTCTCATTCTACCTTAAGTGTAGTTTCGGTTTAAAGGCTATCCGAGGCATTTTAAAGGAATGTCAGTGCTGTTTATTGCAGACCAATGAAATCAACATTCCAACACAGCGCACCTAGATGGTATCGCAAAGTTAACTTGGCTTGGTAGCAAGTACATTAATAACAAGTTGGGTGCATTGATATCTAACACAAATAAGTTAAACGTCTACACATGCTGCAGCAGCCAGGTACTGCTCGACGAACTTGAATGTGTGGTCAGTCTGTCGAAATCTATGTTGGCACGTAGTATGCATCTTGTATCTTATCTTTCTGAGACAGCCCTCGTGAAGTGTGAAGGTGAATTCCTTTTCATGGACAGGCTATCATCTCATACAAAGGAGGTTTTGGTGCAATGACTACCAATAGGCCTAGTTAAGATGGACCTCCGAGGAAAAGATAGTACTAATTCCGGGACAGTGAAACCTTTGGAAATGTTGGTGAGTTCCACTCAGTGTACTCTGGCTCGTTAAGACAAATAAGACACCTGTGAGCAGTGATGAGTACTTTGTCACATTGAAAGTGATGTGGCGCACCCGTTCCCCGTTCAGCTGGCACGTCTGGAGAGCGCGCACTGTCATGCATGGTATGGAGTTCATACCATGACATATACAAATAGCAGTATAAAAGGGGATAAGTAGAGGAGTGTACAAAGGATATACTTCTTACTTATGTAAACTTTGTTTCTATTTATTTAGTTGTATTTGTAGTTTCTGTCTCTTTCCATTATTTGTTTATGTTTATTCAGCCACTTGATTACATCAGTGAGCCACTCAGATATGTTTGTAAGCATGTCATGTGACTGGTAATATTCTGATTTGTAAGGACTTTCCATGACTCATCATGTTTTGTCATGATTCGTCATGCTTTGTAATATTTTACTCATGTACTTTAGTAAGCAGCTGATTCAGCACACCAAAAGGCTTGGTTTGTAAGCATAATCTTACCAATCCAGTGATGACTCATTGCTTAGTAAGGATGGTTTCTAAAATGTATATAAGGACTCCATTCTCACATAATATATTAAGTTTTTCCCCTTCCATTCTTTTCCCAAACCGTGTGGGAACATAGGAATTTGAAGTCAGGAGTTTTCCCACTTTCTGTCTCAACACTGTGAGATCACGAAGAAAGTGAAGGCCTATGAGTTGCCTTTGAAAACAATCATATTCACTAGTCTAGATTGATTGTATACTATCTTACAGGGTGCGCCTATACAATAATCTATCGTTTTATACATTGTTTTACATATTTGTGCCACATTCAGTTCAGAGAGGTCCATATTACCTACTAGGTTTAAGTTTACCTCACAAAATATATATACTCCTTTACTATCAAGAAGTGATCTAGCAAAGAAATAATTTATTACCCTTTGGCCACCCACAAACACCACATTATCAACCGAGAAGTAGAAAATCTGTTGACCGTGAACTTGAGGAGCTGGCACCTTAGTCTTAAAGAATACAATTGTGATAGTCATTGTATTCTGATCAACATATAAGACCCTCAAGTAAGAAGACAGCGTGTAGAGGGCACGTATGGAGGTTGAGATCTTGAGAACACAGCCTGTTTAACAAACAACTCCTCAGGATCATCCCTGTCCAAAGCACTACGTCATCAATGACCACGAATGCCACAAATGGTCCCTCTCGTGCATACTCAGCCAGCAGACCACCACTCAAGTGTGTCCAGCTTTGAAGTAAAACTGGGTGGATTTGGGTACTCAATGATAAGACGATCTTGAATGTAATTCCCTGCGGCAAGTCCTGTGAGTCTCTGTGGCACTTTCCAAGAACTACACTGGTAGTACAAATGCACCTGCTGGTGTCTCCCAAACCAATCTTCTGCCACCCCTCGGGCGTCATCACATACCAACTCGCATGCATTCACTTGCTACTATGTCCAATGGCAGTTGTGTAAAGAGCTAAACACCTCCGAACTGGAAAGACGTATGGACGAAAAGGCCTATGATCCTGCGGTGTAGTATATCAGTACTCTTGCTATCGTCATTAAAAAAACACTTACATATCACCACCACTCTCTCTGCCCATGCCACTCACAGCGCCAGAATGCCTTGCATTCCTGAGTGTGCACGGGACTAAGAGGAGATACTAGTCGTGGACCCACATGAGGTCGCCTGGTTGGAGAACAGTGGCAGGGCAGGTTGCAGATGCTTGATTGGCCTCTGTGGGGGTTGGATGAGATGGCTGGATGAATGGGTGCAGGATGCGCGAGACGGTTAGATGCACGGTAAGACGACTAGATACACGTCAAGATCATCAGATTAAACAGTTCTCAAACAAAGTATAAAATGAACGAAGGCACCTGCTCATAATAATCTGGCACTCACATACTCCATCGACTACGTCCTGCTAGAGGAGATGATAGAAGAGGGGCAAGAGAGCTGTGTAAGCGTCAGCTGTTATATCAACAGTCAGTGAGTGGAATCAACGGTTAACATTTGAAAGAAAGTGTCCCTGGCACGAAGCAATAAGAAGTAGCAACTGAAGGCTGGGAAGTCGAAGAAGGAAATCCAGGAAGTCAGGTCGAGATGTGTGTGTGTGTGTGTGTGTGTGTGAGGGGGGGGGGGGGAATAAGACAGACTGAAGCGTAAAAAGACTGGAGAAAGACGGCATTGGAATAAGGGAAGAGGCACAATCATCTGAACAATGAAAAGAGAGAATGAGTCCAAAAAATGGGAGCGAAAATGAAGGAAAGGAATGAAAAGTGACTCAGGAGTAAGAGCGTTCATGCCTCACGCCAGAAAGTCGGGAATGTGTTGGCATTGACGTTGGCAGTTGATGATTTGGGATTAGTTAAATGGATAGTATCGACGTGCTGAACTGGCGTTGAAGGCAGGTTCCAGTATGAAATCTGAATGGGTTGGAATTGGGTGTTGACAAGGCGGAGGTACTAGTACTAGTAGTAGTACCACAAGGGCGTGATACAAACAAAAGCAAAGTTTTTGCGCATACCCTGCAGAGACAGCTGTAACTTATACCACTGTTACTAGTAGACACAAAACATACCAGTGAATAAGCGAGTCGGGGGGCTGGCGATGTAGATATCTAAAAGTAAATGGCTTTGCGCGTTAGCATGAAGGAAACAAGAAGGAACTTAAAGTACTTAGCAGGACTCGAACTTGAGAACTCTGCGCCAATCGCACGAGCTGATAACCGTTAGGTTATGAGCACTTGGGATTACCTTATACAAGCTTACATATAGCACCCTGTTGATCCGGCAAATGCCAGGATGACATGTTGTAAATAGATCTTCTCTTGGACGCACTAATAGCTAGCGCTCAATGACAAAGTGTTCACTGTCAATTCGATTTCATATCTACCAATCTACATAGCACTAGCATGAATAACAATAACTATGTCAATGCCAATGGAGGACTTGGAAACCAAAACTACGAGGTGCGTTCATTTCTGATATTGGTCACTCACCAATCATCATTCTACAGATACCTTGACATCTTCTTCAACAATACACCAAGACCTCGGGAGGTGGTGTTCAGAATGACGGAGAGGCAGCTCGTCACAATCATTTGTTAGCTACAACACTAAAATTGTTGAAGGAACTTATGTACGTTACCTGGGCTGCCGTGTGACGCCGCGTGCGTCAACTAATCTATCAACCGGAGTTGCCATTCCCCCCCCTACCCGTTGTGGGTAACACACAAAGGTGACTGCAAGTCAGATGACAAGCAAACACTCTCTATGTTGGGTCTTGATACATATGCCGTGTGATATGTTCGACCCTTAAGGGAAGCAAAGAAAGCAAGGATCCATGAAATGATGCTGATCAACCCTGATCCAAGGTGACAAAAGGGCGATGTAAGCGCGGAGAAACACGCTCAAGGCGCGCACAGGAAGTGAAATGCGAAATGCGCGAAGCGTGGGAAGGCGAAAAGGCGAAAAGGCGAAAAGGCGAAAAGGCGAAAAATGCGAAAATGCGCAGAGAACAGGGATGGTAGTGCGAGCAGTGGACAAGTGTAGAGAGATGATAATATGGTGTAATGTGCGGATATAGATAGTTACTGATACTGCCACTAGCTTTAGACTGATGCTAGGGCCTTAAGACGACGACGGACGCATGCATTGCATGGAACTAACTGCCAAGTACATGGTGGTAGAAAGATGTGGTAGGAACGTGGTGTAAAACGAACATGAAGTATGTAGTTCTACCTAAGCGCTCTCCCAGGGCTCGGAGCCGAATAGGGAGCGCTCTAAGTATGTAAGTGAGGTAAAGTGGATGTAAAGAGTAAGGGTTGCATAACGAAATACAAAGTGTAATAGGCTAAATATGGTCTGATAACGAAAAGGGACACACCTAGGAACTGGTTGGATGATGGATGGATGCTCCTGGATGATGCGCGATGGAGTGCGCTTAAGCGTGAGAAACGCGCTAAGCGCGCACGCGGGAACGCGAAACGCGAAAGCGTGAGAAAGTGTTGCGCCTATGGTGCGCTTTGCAGGAGAGCTGTGCATTGTATGCGCAAATGACTGGAGACATAGCAGAAGTTGTGTATGGAGTAGGGCGACAAGTGCGAGAGAAACGCGCTAAGCGCGCGCGGGAATGCTGCGCGTTGTGGGAAAGTAGCGCGCCTATGGCGCGTTTCGCGGGAAAGCTGCGCGTTATGTGTAAAACAACTAGAGACATGATAGAAGTCGAATATAGCTGATGGTGCAAGTTGTGCATTGAAGGCCAATTGTCATGAGTTGTGAAAAGGCGCGAAATGTGCCCATATGTGCCTGCAGAAATGTGAGTCTCTACACCAGTTCCTCTGAACGAGTCGAGAGATCAGAAATGGAATGCAAATGACTGCTATTTAAAAGAGATGGACCAAAGTCAGATCTATCTTCCATCTCGACATCAACATCATTTTGTGGAATTTCTTGGTCAAGGGAGTGTTGTGAGTCGGCAAGATTGGAAGTATCAAGGACGTGGGCGGTAGACCCTTGCCTTTGTCTTGTTGCATGCGATTGGCGTGGGGCAATTGGTCTCGGATGGCACATTACCTTATGTTCAAGTTTACATGAGTTACTACTACTACCAACAATAACAGTTGTAACTTACGTGTGAAGTGTTCGCAGACAGGTCGCCACTGTGGTGACGAGGCCGCAAATTTGCAAGCATGCGGCATCTTTGACGTGTTCCTGTCTCTTCTGAGTTGCATGAACGCTAGACTTCTTATATAAAAGACAGGATGCACGATGCCTGTTGAGTCCACGAGTGTCTGTTGCCCTCTCCCAAGAGCAACCTGATGCACCGCACAACACCATTAACAGAAACAAAGCAGAGAAAAGGGCAATAATCCAACTTGAACTTCGACTCGGATATCCTGCGATACGCATTTGTGGTGCTTTGGAGGTGCTGACGAAATGCAGCTCCTCCCCAGTTGAACTGGCTTGGAGGCAGTCACGGTGGCCGTCAAGTCAAGACTCTGAGTCTTTCAGATTTTGTGCGGCAGCTTTGAACGTTTATACAAGCCTGTTGGACTCCAACTCTGATGTCAGCAAGTCATGGTTGACTAGCGATAAGGTTAGGCCCGGGCTGCAAAGCTGACTCGGACTCAGAGTTGTTCGATTTGAATACAATGATCAGATACTCACATCTACGCTCGTACCATGACAGGTTCAGGTGCCATATTTGTGACTTAATTTGAGCGATGACTTCAGAACACTTCGAACAGCGGTAACTCGTGGTAACTTGTAGTAAGCGCCAAATTGTCAGTGTCAATTTGCCATTCGATTCCGAGTCAATTTGCCTTGCAGTAAGTGACGACTTTGAGTCTGCTCTCAGATTTTGGAAGTTCACCTTCTGCAATGATGCGTCAGGTTCGTTGAATTCGAATTTGAGTTGCTCTGACTGGCAGAGCTGAAAAAGACTCGAAGGTCAGTGACAGAACTAGTAGTAGCCTTAGTAATCAGCAATCAAAATTTGCGGCAAGACATTCCTTCCTGATTGGGCCAGTTATTGTAGTTATCGACACTTACAGCAGTTATCCTGAACTTTATTGCATCTTTTGCGTCATTCTGTCCTTTGCACATTGAAATATTAACACTTAATATTTAATAATCTCTGTACCAACATGTTGGCACCATGTTGAACGATCATCAATTTGGGTGTTGCCGATTCGGAAAATGTATAAGTCAACTTTGAGGGGAAAGTGGAACGCAACTGAGTTCAGAGTCACTGGTCAGACCAAATTTACAATGAGTAATTCTCGATCACCATTGAAGTGCAGCAATTGGTCTTCCCTCAGTATTCCTCGGTTTGTCTACTTAACAATATGTTGTTCACAGCACATCCACTCATATCTTGCACTCCAGACGACTTGCCAAACCCTCCTCGACTCCCACCTTGGTTGAGCCTAGTAGCTCTCCCACTGTTGCTAGCGCGTTTGCCCCTCAAGTTGAAGAGGGTAGCTCAGCAGCAACCATGCAAAGAAATATTGTTTGTGGTCGTCATAAGCGCTCCTTCCAGTGTGCCTTCAAGTTATTTCAAGCCGGCGACCATGACGAGGATTGCAACATACCGACGACGAAGAGATTCAAGATTTTACAAACAACTGTGAGTACTTCTCATAATCTAGATCCCAATCTCAATCCTAAAATTCATTTCAAAGTGGAACTACACTCCTACGTCCAATTCTGATAGTTCAAACTACATCAACCAGCGTATGCTCGAGCTTTCCCGGATCACTCGTCGAGCCATTGCCGCAAGAATGCGATACCAACATATTCACTCTCACGAACTAGATCTGATAAAGTCCACTCTCGAAGACGAAACACAGGTGTCACAAAAGCATATGAATAGCATTGATTTGCAATTTGGCTCCCTTAGAAACATGCTTCACGACGGAGGAGTGACAGTGATAGGAAACAAGTGATGTAGGTCTGACCATAGCGGCCATGACCAGGCTTGGTGTGAAAGCTCTGATTCATCTGACAGTTTGATTGATGACGGTCGCTCAGCCTGTGAGTCAGGCTTTGCATCCAAGTTAGAGGAATAATGTGATCATCGATCCAGTGTATTGTGTTTTGCCCTTATGATCATTTCATAACATATTTGCGGTACCCCAGGCCACTATTACATATGTCTATATGTAGTTTTGTGCTGACAGTAGCTCATTCAATTATTTGTTTCACAAGACGTTGGAATGACGTCCTGATCAGAGCGCCGCGTTTACTGTGGTGGGGCTCGTGTAAACTCTTCCACCCAGCAACATGAAGTCACAAATATTTTCAAACGCACACCTCCTATAGCAGAAGTTTGAAGGTTGCTGACAGTGAACAAGGAAAGGTTTAAGACCTCTTTCGAATCTGGGCTTCACTAGCATTCACCTAGTTATATTAATTTGCGAGTTCAATCAGGTTGGTGACCTAACCTGATATTAGCCTAAGGTTCTAGTCACAGTAGAGCAGGAACAACTCGAAGGTTGAACGGGAAAAAGAAGCAAAGGTGAGTAATGGGCGTGTCCGCCAAGACAAAAATCCGACCAGACTGTGTCAGTGTGAGCTCCTGGATGGTATTACTCATAGTGACCGCGACGAACATGGGGTGGGCAGCAAGAAAGAGTGATGAGTTGAGACAAAAATTTTATCAGGAGGTGCCTCGAGAGCGTCACGGTATTGTTGAGAGGGAGGGTCGCACTGATACAATGCGCATTTGCCCCTACAATCCTAAGTCACAAGAATTGCAATCTGAGGCGGTTGATAGCGGGGTGTACTAGTATATCTCCCTCAGTGCTAGTCCGAGTCAGACTCGGCCAGGATTCGGAGG